TTTTTTTTTTTCCCTTTTTTTTTTTATGGATTAAAAAAAAAAAAAAAAAAAAAAAAAAAAAAAAAAAATAAATAAATTTTGTTCAAATAAATAATAATATTTGCTTTAAAAAAAAAAAAAATAAAAAAATAGTTTTAGGGTTTGGCTTTTGAATTAATAATTGAATTTTTAGATAGTTTTATTAAAAAAAAAAAAAAAAATTTATTTTGTTGTCTATGTTATATATTTAAAAAAATTTTATCAAAGTAGGTTTAAATTCAATAAAAAAAAAATATTTTGAATTTAGCTTTGATTTTAAAAAAATGAAAAAAAAAAAAAATTAAATATATAAATATATATAAATAAAAAATGCTTATATAAAAAAAAGCAAATTGTATTTTTGTTGTAATTTTAAAAATTTATAAATATTTGTTAAATCTTATTATTATTATTAATTAGTGAGATGATAAAAAAAAAAAAAAAAGAAAAAAAGAAAAAAAAAATTTATTTTGATGTTTTATTATTATTATTATTTTTTTTTTTTTTTGTTGTCAAATGTGCTGTACTGAATGCTTTTTCAGTTCAATTAATTTTGTTGGGAATTCTAGTTTTTTTTTTTTTGTTTTTTTTTTTTTTTGGGTTGTTAAAATTAAATTTTAGTTTATTTAATATTTTAGTATATCGGTAGATTATAAATAATATATTCACTTTTTTTTTAAGTGCCATTGCTTCTAGTCTCAAGTGCATTAGACTGGATTCAGCAGATGATAAATTTTTTTTGAAATGATGACTAATTTAATGATTATTTATTTTTATAAATAATAAATAATAATTAATTAATTAATTAATTATGTATTTTTATAATATTATTATTATTAGTCTTTAACAAAGTCTCATTTCAAAAAAAAAAAATGAAAAAAAAATTTTAAAAAAAATTCTGCTCACACTTCCATAAGGTTTTGTTGTTGTTGTTGTTGAAAATTTTTAATAAATTAATAAAAATGGTGTGTCCAAAGGAAAAGGATATGAAAAGGCTCTAATAGATCTCAAATTTCTCGTGGTTTTCTTTGCAGCAATAGCACAAAGGATTTATTAAGCTTTGTAGTGCATTCGCTTAAATATTTCTGTAAACAAAAAAAAAAAAAAAAAGAAAAAAAATTATTATTTGTTTTAATATTTAAATTTTATTATAATAATAATAATAATAAGTACAACAAAGGGGAAAAAAAAAAAATTAATTTTGTACAAATTAAAAAAAATGAAAATCTTATATTAAAAGCATAAGTTGTAGTATTGTTTTAAATTAATATGTTATGGCCTATAAAAAAAAATCTATTGTAAAACTCATATTTTTCAATGTAACTTTTAATAATCTTCCTTCCTTTTAAATTGGAAAAAAAAAAAAATCTGTCTGTTGTCTACAGTCAGACATTTTGTTTTTTTAAATGATAAAATTAAAAAAAAAATTGTAAATGGTTACTTTTGCATTTTCAATTTATTTTAAAATTTATTTTTTCTGATGATGATGATGTTGCCAAGAATTTTTTTTGTAATGTTATTTTTTTTATTATTGTGAATTATTAGGGCAGCTAAAAAGGTTTAAGGTATTAGGTTAACACTTTTTTAGGATCTCCTAATTAATTATAATAAGCAATATCATAATAAAAAAGAGGTTTATTTTGAAGTTTTTAATAGGTTTTATAACTCGATGTTAAAAACTCTTTGGATGTAAAAAAAAAAAAAATTTTTCATTTAAAATTTAAAATTTTCAATTTTTGTTTAAATATTTGACAAAAATTTTATTGAAGAAAATATTTTATTTTATTTTATTTTTTTGTTTTTAAATTTTATGATTTAGTTTTTTTAAAAACTAATTAGTTTTTTTTTTTTTTTTTGGTAAATGACATTATATATCAACCTTATATTTTAAAACTTTGTCATGTCCAAATTATTATTATTAATATTTATAATTTTTAAAAAAAAAAAAGGTGCATGGAAAAAATTTATTTTTTAATTAGAATTAAAAAAAAATTATTTATAAATAAATAATTTAAATAAAAATTTTTACCATATTATTATTATTAATTATCAATAGGCCGATTTCGGGAATAAAAATTACATAAAATATAATATGTAATATATTTATATATATATAAATTTATTTATAAAAAATAATTGTTTATGGTTTTTTTTTTTTTAAAAAAAAATATATATTTATCAAAAATGTATACATATAAATTGGTGATGAAATTATTTTTTAAATTAAATAAATAAATAAATAAAATTGTTTTTAAATATTCTTTAAAAAAAAATTTTTTCTAAATTTATAACTTAAATAAATAAATAATAAATTAACTCTGTAGTGTTGAAACTAATTAAAAATTTTTTTATTATTTATCAAAAATAACTTTAAAAAAAAGAAAGAAAATCTTATTAATAATTATTATTATATATATTTATTTAAAAAAATAAATTCCAAATATTAATAAATAAAAAAAAAAATTTATATAAAATTTTATTGTTGTTATATTTACAAAAAAAAAAAAAAAATGGTTTTGATTATTATTATTATTATTATTACTAATTTGTTATTAACTAAAATGTATTTTTTTTTTAAATGGAAAATTTTATTATTATTAATTAATATTTCTTTATTTGGATGATCGTTATGTTAATAATAATAATAATATCGCCGTAATTATGTTAATAATAATAATAATTTTTTTTTTTATTGCAGCAATTGTTGTGTGATATTTTTATAAAAATATTTCACACCTTATGGACTGAACCTAAGGTATATTGATATAAATATATATAAACATTTTAGATACTATTTTATAGATAATTGTGTTCCGTTGTTTTTTTTTTCTTTGGGGATGTTAAATAAAACTATTAAAATTTATTATTATTATTATTTTTTTTTTCCCCGATTCATTTCTCAAAACCATTTGTTTACTCACTTATATATTACATAAATAATTATTATATATATATAATTGTTTAAAAATTACAATTTTTCATTTTTTTATAAACAAATTGAAATAGGATTAAGCGAGTGAATGAAAAATAATCATTTTTTTAAAATAAAATATTCATAATGTTTATTAATTTATATTATCTTCTTCTTTTTTTTTTTTTCTTGCAAAATAGATAAGATAAAATTAAAAATATTTTAATTAAATAATAAAATAAATTATATAATATAAATATATACTCAGGAGAAAACTTTAAGTAAAAATAAATAAATTTATGCCTTAAATAATGCCAGTGGGATATTTTTTTTTTTTTTTAACATGATTCATTAAACACAAAAAAAAAAAAAAGAAAAAAAAAATTCTCGCCATTTTGATTAGTATGTAATCACTTCACAAACATTAAATACAAAAAAAAAAAAAAAAAAAAATTATATATATAAAATAAAAATAAATTAAAATGTTACGCGGGATGAGTTAACAAAAGATAAACTCTGTTAGATTTGATTGATTTCAACGAATAAATAACCCAAGTTTTAAATTCAATTATTATTATTATTATTATTATTATCATCTCTTAAAAAGGTTCGATTGCCCAAATTTTAATATTTGAATCTTGACCGACTGATATTAAAGTTGTTTCATTCGTCCAAGCTAATCTTGTTATTTGACTTTGAGGATGAGCATCTTTTTAAAAAACAAGAAAAATAAAATTAAAAATCAAATTTCGTAATTTAAAATCAAATGAAAAAATAATAAAAAAACTTACTCCTAATTATTGTATGCTTTGCAGGACTTTGGAGACTCCAAATTATAATAGCTGTATCCAGACTACCGCTGGCAACTAATTTATTGTCTGGAGACCATGCCACGGTATTAACTTTGGCATTGTGGAATCCCCATTCTTTGTTATGAGCCAACTGAAATTTTATCATTGCACAAATTTAAAATAAAATTTTTTAAAGAACGATTCATTTATTTTTGTTTATTTAAAATACTTACGGTGTAATCTGAAGTTTTATACAGGATAACTTTTCTATTACCGTCGCAAGCGACTAAATATTCACCGTTTGGAGAATATGAACAATCAGTCACGGGACCCAAATGATCTAGAGTTAATTTGAGAGTTAAATTTGTTCCATTAAAGGTATATATGTAAACCTAAAAAAATTTTCGTATATTAATTTTGCGCGAGTTTTTGAGTGAAAACAATTACTTAAATCGTTCGAGTTTCTTCTTACTTTATTGTCGGAAGTACTACCCACTGCAACATCATTGTTTGAATTAATTGACACGCAAGATGCTTCATAACTAATTGGCAAAACTGAAGATTTTTTATCGTTTTGAACAACTGTTATGTTTTTAACAGAAGCAGTTATAATTATATCATCCTTAATATCTAGTCCTCTGGGTTGACAGTCAAGTTTAATATTGAAACCTATAAAAAATTTTTTTTTTTCATCGTAAAATTGACTTTCCGTTCTGATAATTAGCATTAATTATTTATAAAATAATTAATTGTTATTGTAATGTACCTGTGTAACTGCATGAGTTCACACTGATTTGTTTAATACTATCATCGATTCCACATGTGTAAACAATATCATCTGAAGCTTTCATTCCATTTATTTGATTACCATGTCCTTGACCCTGAATTCTATCATTTGTCCCAGTTGAGGCATCCCAAGTAGTAACATATCCATCATGAGATCCAGTATAAATTGTTTCGCGATTTGGACTTAGAGTCATTACTGTAATTGGTTTATTATGACCCTAAATTTAAAATTGCTGCTTGTATTAATTTTGTTTAAACAATAGTTAAATGAAAAAAATTTAATTTACCTTAATGACGCGAAGTGGCTTATCAGGATTATTAACATCTAAATAATTTATGAATCCACTGAGAGAAACTGATAGGAGGTATTGACCCTGCCAAAGACAAGACATTTGTTGATCATCTACCTCTGTTCCCATACACATTTCCGAAACCACTGACTTAGTTTCTACATCCCAGATCTTACAAGTTTTATCACCAGAAGCAGTAAGCAATTGAGTTCCATCTGGTTTCCATGCAATCTAAAAATTAAAAAATCATAAAGTAAAAGAGTTCATAGAACTTTCTACCAGAGAGTTATTTGAAAACCTACACCATAAATTCCTCCTTTGTGAGCAGGAGAGCCTAGTTCTCCAACCACTTCATAAGTGTTACTATCATATATAAAAACTTTTCCCGAAAAATCACCAGAAACGAAAAAATTTCCATTCGGTGAATATCTAACCACTTGAACAAATTTGGTGTGTTCCCTTTTGGTCATTTTAAATTTAAAAGGTGGTCCTTCAAATATAGCCACAGTGTTATCTTCACTACCAGTAATTATTTTAAAAGGCCTAGTGGGTTTAAAATCACAGGAATTTATTGATTTTGATTGACCAGATATTTCTCCAACAGAAGTTCCTGTTTCTGCCATAAAAACATGGCCATATCTTTCTCTACCCTCTCCTACTACAACCATTCTTTGGTTATCAGGTGACCATGAAATATCTTTTACGGCTCCTCCCAAAGGATAAAATTCATTCTTTAAAATGTGTTCTTTATTTACAGTATCCCAGATTCTAACTTTTCCAGATTGATCTAAAATTATATATTTACAATAGAGCTATAAAAATTTTCAGTTAAATTAAAAAAAAAAAAAAACCATACAGTACCTCCTGAAGCAATGTAAAAACCACTGGGTGAATATTTTGCAACATTTACAGGATATGAATGTTCAGTGTAGACATCAGATATTGCTGGGTTCTGTAAAATAGGCAAATATTAAATTTGTATGTTAATTTCCTCTAAAAATGAAAATGTGTTTCGAAATTAAAAAATTTTTTAAAAGTTACCTCAATATTTCTGATAATTACACTATTGCCATTTGTATATAAAAAATTTTTGCCTTTTGGGTCTCCACCTAATACAATGGGTTGTCCTCTATTCGTACGAGGAAGAGTTGCAAATATGTATTCTGAAAAAAAATTTGAAATATAAAAAAATATTAATTAAATAATAATTTTTTCTTTTCTTTTATGTTAATTTAATTTTTAAAAAAAATTATAATTTATTACAAAAATTTTTTATAATTATTTTTCCTTTAAAATATATATATATATATTTTTTTTTGGTTTAATTTCATTTTTTAATGCAATTCATTACTCATAGTGAAGTAATTTTGATAAAAGCTATTTCATCAAATTTAGGAAAAAAAAAAACTTGAATAAATTACGATGAAATTTTAATAAATTAAAAATTTAACTTATAAAGTTTTATTATAACGGTGGTTAACTTTAAATAAAATTTTTTCTAAGTCGGAAAAATTCATAAAAATTAAACTTCGTGATAATTAAAAATTCTTTTAAAAAAAAAACTAATTTTTTATTATTATTTTATATTAGAAAAAAATAAAAATATATATAAATTTGAAAAAGGATTAGTTTAATAAAATACTTACTGTTAGAAAATGACATTTTAATGCAATTATTTGACAATTAAATAAATTACTCTACTCGGACACCTGTCTACAATATACTACTTCCTATTGAAAGAACGTTGACGCCTTCTCCTTTGAAGTTTCCTTTTTTGGATTTTCCACGAATAAATCACTTGTCAAGAGCAAATTTTACAATCTCAACTATTTCAGAAAAATTGTAAAAATAGATTATTTTTCGACTATATATAACATATCTATTAATCAATTATCTAATAATTCTACTTTATAAACTAAGGAATTAAATTTTTCTATCAAAGCCTTCAAGATATTTAGTGTTATACATACGGCTGTGATTTTTATTCGTTTCCGTTGTAAATATCGTTATTTAGTTGTTTACTTAAGCATTAACGATTCATTTACTATAATTTCTAAAAAAATTAATCATATATAATGAATTGTTCAAAAGCTTCGGGAGATGGACTCGTGAGTACTTGTTAAAAATAATAATTTTGTTGTAATTGACTTATTTAAAAAAAATTGTGTAAATTGTATATAAATTTTAAAGTTTAAAATACATAAAATTATTTGGCAAAAAAAAAAAAAAAAAAAATATTTTTTACTTTTTCAGGCGAATAACGTTAATGCAAAGTATATGTTTATCGTAGAGTGGTACGATCCAGTAGCGCAAATAATAAAAAAATTTTTAATGACATTTTATCCAGCTGAAAACTCTGTGGAATTAGTAAATTATTCAATTTAATATAAGTTTGTTTGATATTATTTACATAAATTACTTATTATTATATTATGAAAATTCAAATTTCAGTATGATTTAATTCATCAAAGAACATTTTTAAGAAAATCAAAACAGGAGGGAATGAATTTAGAAAATTTATACAAAAGTGCTATAGTTACAGTAATGTCCAGACAAATGAAAATTGTAGATTATGCAGATGCTAAAACAAAACAAAAATTTGAAGTAGAATTGACTAAGTAAGAATAGCGATTTTATTAAATTATGCACTTAAATTTATTTAATTGATTAAATGATGTATTTTTGAGTAATTATTTTTGTAATATTTTGTAGAACATTTTGTTTGATTAAGCCAGATATTGTTCATAAATCTGGAGAAATAATCAAGTTCATGCAAGATAACGGTTTTAAAATTATACAATTAAAAATGGGACAAATGAGTCAAGAGTGTGCTTCCAATTTCTATGTAGAACATAAAAATGAAACATATTTAGTGTGAGTTAAAATACATTTTTTTAATTAGTAAAAATTTAACATTTTTTAATTCCAAACAATTTTCAGTGATTTAATTACATTCATGTCATCGGGTCCAAGTATTGCAATGACTGTTATCGGAGTAAATGCTGTTCAAAGGTGGTTAGATTTTATCGGCCCGAGAGATTCTGAAATTGCTAAAAGAGAAGCTCCAGACACTTTGAGAGCAATTTATGGTACAAATATGACAAAAAATGGTGTCCATGGTAGCACAGACATTGAACATGTTGAGTGGGTAAAGCTGTTATTAATTTCTGAAAGACATAACATCTTAATTACAGTTTTAAAACTGATAAGTGATTTATACATTTTTTAAATTTGAGTGATTTGTATTATGATTTGCAGGAGTCAGAAATATGGTTTCCAAAAGATGTTTCTAAAAAAAATTTCAGTGATATAATGCCTAGTTGTACTTTAAAAAACACCACTTGTTGTGTAATAAAACCACATTCAGTTTTAGATGGCACTTTTGGCTCAATATTGAATTTTATCAATGAAAATAATTTTAGAATCACTGCAATGGAAATGTTTAATTTGGATGTTTCTACAGCAGAAGAATTCTTAGAAGTGTATAAAGGTGTTGTGCCAGAATACTCTGTTAGTATCAATTATAAATTCAACAAATTTTTAATGAAATAGAGATGCATAAAAATTTAAAAAATTAAAATTTTTTCAGGCCATGGTTCTTCAATTTACATCGGGACCCATAGTTGCACTTGAAGTTACTGATTTGTCAAATCCTGAATGCTCCCAAGAAAATTTTAGAAAATTGGCTGGTCCAACTGATCCAGTAAGGAAATAAAATGAATAGGTAATTTATCATTAGGTAATGAATGTCTTTTAACATTTTAATTTTTATAACAGGAAATTGCTAGAAAGCTGAGACCCAATACAATTAGAGCAATATTCGGAAAAGACAAAGTAATGAATGCTGTTCATTGTACGGATTTAGCAGATGACGCACCTTTAGAAGTCGAATATTTTTTTAAAGTTTTACAAGTTTAAAATTTTTTATTATTTATTTTAAATGTATATTTTGTAAATTACAAAAAAAATTTGATTTTTAAAATAAAATTATCGGACTAAAATTTTTTTTTTTTTTTTACACAGAATAATTAAAAAGCTATAATTTACTACATAATTAACTATATATTTGTCATTTAATTTGTGCACAATTATATATTTCTCACTTTCATTCTTTATTGTAATAATTATTTTAATAATTACTTTGGGTCATCTTAAAATACAAAAAAAGGCAAGTCGATTAGTCTAATGACACTTTAATTAGAATGCATTTCTATTTTCACGTTTTTTAACGTATTAAAAAAACCGATTTTGAAATTATAACTGAAATTTAAATAGTGATATTAAAAAAAAAAAAAAATTAGTTATTTTATTTTTAATGTTTTGATAATTTTAAAAGTGTTGAGTATATTTTTTATTTAGTGTTGCAATAAAAATACAATTATATTTCTTTTTATTCTATCGGTTGTTATTAATTAATAAATATATATAATGAATTTGATGACGCGTTGTTAGAATTCTTTCTCATTTTTACAGGTTTTTGATTTTTAATACGTATTTACAGTTTAAAACAGTTAATAAATAAAACTTGAGCTTTTTTTTTTTTTAAAACTTTATCAGTATTAATCTTATTCCAAAGTACATCACAGTAATTGATTATTAATTTATAAAATTGGTGCAATTCATAAATTTTAAATAACTTCCTTGAAAATATATATTGATTTTTAATTTTTGAGAACAAAATCAGTAGAGGTTCAAAAAGTTATTTTATCACAGTAATAGTTTAAGTTTTATTCTTTGTAATTAAAAATCTAGTCGATAAATTATGTTGCTGGAAGATGATAATGAAAAAAATAATATTAATTCAAATATTTTAAGAAAAGAAAATGAACCTCATGGAACTATTATTAATGATAACTTTGACATTACTTCCTCATCGAATTCTCATAAAGTAATATTTACCATTTCTTTAATAAATTATAAGGTAAGTAAATTTTATTCACAATATTCATCTTCCAAATTATAAAACTTTAAAATAAACTAATATAGGAAAATTAATTTTCTTTTAGATTTTGGCTGTGAGCGATAATGCTTGTCAATTATTAAATTTAAATTGTGATAATTTGTGCTCAAAGAAATTTTGTGATTTTTTTCAAGATTCTTATAAAAACAAATGGTTTCATTTAATAAATTCATTTTCATTTAATCCAGATACGGATAAATTAAAGAAAAAAAAATTGGTATTGTATTAGTGTGACTTTTATTTTTTCTTTGAAAAATAAATTTAACACTGGAACATCACATATTTTTTATTTTCTAGGTAGAATTCACTCCTAATAATCATGAGTCAATTTTAGTATTGTTATCATTAAGCAAACTCAATTGCCTGACTAAATGTTTGGCAATGGTGGAACCTATCGAAACGAGAAAAATATCGGTTAGTTAATTATTTATTTAATACCATTCAATTCATTTTAATAAACTTATTATTAATTTCTTTTTCTTTTTTAAATTTAGATATCTATTGATGAGAAAGGTATAATTTCTTCTTTAAATGGTGATACTTCTTTTTTATTCGACTATGATTATTCTGAATTAATGGGAGATAATATTTGTAAAATTATTCCCGAATTCAATTTTAAAAACTTAAGTATTTGCCAACGAGATGTAGGTTATTTTTTATTTAATTTGAAATTAAATTTTTTTTTTGTTTTGCAATAAAAATTAGACTAGTATAAATCATGCATAATTTTTATTTTTATTTTTAGATATTTTTTAAACAGTACACAACAGCAAAAACCAGAGAAAATGTTACCTTTCCTGTATTTATAACTGGTAATTGCAATGTAGCG